TTTTTACTATTTTTTCTACGAGCCACCGTTTTTGAGACATAACGATTCAAAAAGTTGTGAAAGTTGTAATCGTCATAATATGCACACGTTTCCACACCACCTACGAGGGAGTGTACTTAGCGTGTTTTTTAACGTGTTTTTTAACGTGGTTTTTCCAGTAGGCCTATTCCACAGGTTAGTTGTGATCCTGTTCAATTTGAAACTATTGCAAAATAATGGATATTAGCAGAGATTGAAAAGATAAAAGCAATTCAAGTTAATAAAAAAGTAGTGAAATTTAATCGTCCGAGTCGTAACTTTCAAATTTTTCTTCTTGTTCTTGTTCGTCTTGTGTTCTTCTTCTTCTTGTTCTTTTTAATCTTCATCCTGAGTATATGTAAACTGCGTTAATAGCGATCTATCGCATGTCGCCTTGTTGGAATCAACCGGGTCCTCCACTGTTGGTGATTCAATAATAGAGCACGACCGGCCTTGACAATGTGTCCTTACAAGAGAAAAAAACAGTCTGGATTTTTTTGCAACCACATTTAGGACTACACCCCTTTTAGCAGTTGCAAAAAATGTTGTTCAGCAGTTTTTCCGGCGCGTAAAGTTTGGACTAGTTCTAATGAATTGTTGACTAACTTCCAACCCCAGTCTATCGGGTCTAGCTGATAACCAAGCCGGTAATATACCCGAAAAAGATGTTGATGAGCAGAAACTGGGGTTGGAGGAAGACAAGGTAATTATCCTTGTTTTTTACTTTTGGCGTTTTTAACGGAACATGCATGTCTATACCTATCTAAGCAGGTAGTTTCTTTAGGAGCTCCGTACATAGAAAGAAGAAAGCGAATGCCGTTAGTAATAATTCCTTGTCGAGTTGAATTACTATTTTTCAAAACTTCAGCAGATTGAACTGAATTTTGTTTTTCAAAAATTTTGAAAACTGTTATTTTACCCCTCCTGTAAAATGCAGATGTCGTATCACAGCCAGTTATTGCGTGTAAAACTAGTACATGATTTTGACCCTTTGCAAAAGTAGATAAACTTTTTGATGAATATATTTCCGATTGATGTTGAGCTTTTCCTGGTTTTGAGAAGTAAATATTTTTTTCAGTTAGAGTTAGAGCAGTGAGTAATATTTCATTCGTTATAGCAGGTATAAGACCCTAGCCACTCACAGGGGACAGATGCATCAAGGTTACAATGGCGTATAAATTAAGGGACTGGGTTTCATTTTACCTAATATTCTTATATGTATAACTTATGTATATTTTATATTATAAATGTAACATATATTACGACTACAGAGATGTATGTACGAGGCGTACTCATGCATATTATAACAATTAAAACGTTTACAATTTTTTGAATCGTTATACCTCAAAAACGGTGGCTCGTAGGAAAAAAAGTAATGATACATTTTTTGTAGATAATTCTATAGTCTACAATTTTTGTCTGAAGTATTTTTGTAATAAATCTTAGCGTTTTGCTGAAAATCGCGAAAAACTCTTTTTGTTTTACTTTTGAAAGATGTGTAACCTTCAAATTTTATTTTTAATCACATTTTGAACAATCTTACCGATTTTCAGCTTGGTGGAAAGTTAGGTAGCTTTACTCTTATTTTTGGTCTAATTTGACAGGACTAAATGGTTTTGGTGAGGCTGAGTTGTCTGTCGCAATGAGAGTTTCCACATCATAGAAATGAGTATTTTAATAAAAATTTAATGGAAAAATCATCTGATTTTTAGTAAACACTGAGGTGCTCTTATGGTCCATGAATGCTAAGTACTACATATTATATAATATGTAGGTTATCATAGAAAAAAATTAATACAATTTGATTTTATTATCCTTCGCCTTCGAAGGCGTCACAATGATTATAGCAAACAAACAATTTTTCGATATAATTTTTGTAGTGTGATTTGTCTTAAGCCTCAAAATAGGCCTACAATCACCTATTCATCGGCGCTCAATTTCTCTCCTGTGAGCATTCCCTTGAGATCTGAGAAGGGGAATGTGTATTTGGGGGCTAGATCTGGAAAATACGGTGGATGCGGAAACAGTTCAAAGCCCAATTCGAGTAATTTTTCCCTCGTTTTCATTGATTTATGATACGGTTCATTACCTTGATGAAACAGCACTTTCTTTTTCTTCAAATGGGGACGTTTTCTCACGATTTCGTGCTTCAAACGCTCCGATAACGCTATGTAATAGTCGCTATTGATAGTTTTTCCTGTTCAAGATAGTCGATGAATATTATGCCATGCGCATACCGAAATACTGATACCATAACCTTGCCAGCCGATCGTTGCATCTTTGCACGCTTTGGAGTCGGATCACCACGTGTAGACCACTCTGATGGCGTTCGTTTCAATTCTGGTATGAAAAGATGGAGGCATGTTTCATCAGCTGTCACATATTGACGCATAAATTCAGATTTTTCATGGTGGAACATCTTCAAACACTGCTCAGATTCATCAATTCGTTATTGCTTTTGGTCGATCGTGAGCTTGCGTGGCATTCACGTTGAATAGAGCTTCCACATACCCAAATATTCATCCACGATATGTCCAACACGTTCATTCGATATCTTCAGAGCTTCAACTATCTCGATCAACCTCACTTAGCGGCCATCAAAAATTATACGTGGATTTTTTCACATTTTTGTCGGTAACAGCCTCTTTGAGATGTGCATCGTCCTCGATGGTCATTTCATCTCGTTTAAACTCAGAAAACCACCTTTCAACACCAAATCGTTATTTTTAACACCTCGACACATGTTTCGATCACCTCTTTTAAGATGATCACTTGGTGATCGAAACACGTGTCGAGGTGTTGAAAATAACGATTTGGTGTTGGAAAAAAACTCCAGTAATATTCATTACTACACCAAAGGTTCCAAACAGTGCATCATAAGTACTTATCAACAGTTGATTTTCCTGTGGCAAAGTCCGAATAATGTTAATCAAGCCAAGCCTTGACTTCAACAGTATTTTTTTCGCCAAAGAGAAATGCTTTATTAACACACGAAGTTTCTTTTTATCCATTTTTTTCAAACTAACCCAAGTTGCTTCATTCAAAATGTTCTATCCCACAAACTGGTAGTCCGACAGCTGTGAAATTTAAACACGTATCTTTTGAAGGTTAGGGTTAACTGAAAGTCATATGGATTCAATACTTGTAGCGTCATCTCTGTGTTAGCCGACAATCTTTTCATCCCACCTAAAGAAAATACTTGACCTTGCCTTCCATAATTATATTGGAAATGTTATGTCTGATGCAAAAAAAATACAGGACGGTCTTTCATATATAATGGAAAGAAAATGTTTAATCATTTGCCAATTGAGATCGAAGGCATAACATGTACCACTAAATTCAGAAAGTCTGTAAAAAAGCTTCTGATTTCAAAGGCCTTTTATTCTTTAGACGAATTCTATTCAGACAGAAATTTAAATTATATAAAATGATATTTTATCTTCGACAATATCTATTAAGTTGTGTGTCTTATATTTCTTAGAATAGTAACACTTTGTCAATGAGATTTCATCTTCGACAATAAAGTACATTTTGATTTGATTTGATGATATAGGCTTCTGATCAGGTCAATCAGTGTGCAATATCTCAGACGAATGAATAATGTAGGTTGTGAAGGTATGTACATTTGTACATTTGCACTATTAAAACATGGTATATGATCCTCCAGCGAATCGGAATTATCACTGTCTATTCTATCTTCATTACTTTCCCAATGCCTCATCCAATCACCCCTATATTTTTCTCAAAGTCTGATTTTTTGATCTGTCAGAATTACAGCACGAACAAATAGTGGATAAGATGCCTATACATTGTTTTTGATGATCCAATTCAATATTTTACGACCAGATCTCCACAGAGGAGAATGGTCATTTTTGCTTGTCCACTCATAATTTTTGGCTCGTGCTTTTCTGGATGAAATAGAAGTTCCTGTTGTATCTGTTTGAAAAATCTGTTTTGCCACTTACCAGCTGGCACACCCCCATGAACGACAACTTTTTACTGAAGACTGATCAGTGTTTAATTAACTCACCCTACCTCAATCGGACGCGCTCGAGAATTTCTGATGATCAATTTTTTTTTACTAATCTGATCCTTTATCCCTCACAGACGGCCTTATATATGGGGCTCATATTTGGTGGAGGTACTTAACCGGGTACGAGGTATCCCCCTATATATTAATCTGCCGCGCTTTAGTAAATATAGTTTTTGTGGTTATTTCATAACTTGATTTGGTAATATATAGGAAGTTAAAGATTTTCTAATTTATGTGAAATTGCATTTTACGAATCAAATTATACTACTACGATCACAAAAATTATTACAGAGCACTTTCAAACAATGATGAGATACTATGTAAGATTCCAGGATAACCACTAATAAAATTTCTAAAATTCTTAGAAGGCGATGATTATTTTCAATGTCATTTACCGCAGGAGCAATTTTGTTTTGGTAGAAAAAAAAGTTTTCTTTCAACTCTAATATCATCTTTTTCCTATATAAACTTGAACCATTGATTAATGGAAAGATATATAATGATGCTAATAGTACTACGATAAGATTAATAAAGTTAGGGCAGCAATTCTGGGGTTGAGTAGAAGAACATTTCAGTGGAGGTCTTGTCTGCGACTAAAATGAATTTCGCCCCTTTCTTCTGTTTCTCAGCTCATGGTCACAAATGTGACGTGTACAAATTATGTGGGAAATACAGGCGATTATTATTATTATCATATTCAAAAATCTATAGGATTCAATGCCGACCATAGAATAATTTCTCCTCGCTCTAACCATTGTTTAGGCTGAAAGAAAGGTTTGATTAATGTCTATTAGAAAATTATTTTTGTTATTTCACTTAGAAACATTCATTCAATATTTGGCGATAATATTCATTGAAAATATTTGTAGTCTATAAAATGATAACGATTTTATTCACTCCTCATGATGTCTGCATCGTTGTAACATTCATACATTTCTTCCTTTTGCAGAACCCAAGGACAGTTTCCAGGATACATCTAAAGATGAGGAAGCGATACAAAAAGTGAGTGTGCTATAGTGGCGTCTTTCATAAACACTCCCATGATTTATATCAAATAATTTTGGAAAATAAAAACGGTTGATTCATTCTGATGGGAACTTCTATTGAAAATAAATAAATGATTTTCATTACTAGAGTTTCAATGGCGTGTTGAAGCTTCTTAATTTCATATTTTGACAAAAATAAGCATTAAATCTTAATTTATCGACAATAATATGAACAATTTTTTGTATACTTTCATTAAAGTTTTGTTATTTATGTAACGGAACGTGAAAGTTTCGAAAAAGTAATAGTACTATTCATATGGTATAGTCATAGTAACCGATATAGTAATCTTAAAGCTATCGGCGAACTCAAAGGCCAAAAAACCGCTACGAATTAGTCCACGTGGACTGAAGAATTAGCGGTTCGTATTGGATAATTTTTACTAACCGAGTTTTATGATTGGCTGAAGAGTCATAAAATTAAATTTGAAGTCATTTTACGGTGACCAATAGAGTGTGAGGATGGTTAGAAGAGTCATGTTGTCAATGTTCAGTTCAGAACTGATCGCGATTTGAGTGTTGAAATTCGATATTGGTGAAGTTTGGTGAAATTTTTGTTATTTGTTTAAAATGTGGCGTCCTTGGACAAGTACTAATGAAACGACACCCAAGTCAACTTGCCAAGTTGTCACACCAATAGGTGGTTACACTTATGTTTCACTTGCGTTTACGCAGCTATTTTTATCAAGTACTTTTTAGGTTTTTCATATTTTGTCTTCAATCGAGGACCGCCTGCCCGGTACTGACGATGCCCAATAGGCTGAAACAGCTATCTACCGGTGGCTCTTAAATTGAAATCAATATGGAAATGATCAGAAAGTATTTATCTATATGTCTTATATCTCGGATATACCTACACAGTAGATTGAATGGACTAATGCCTATTAAAAAACAACTACTCCACCGGCTAACACCACGAACGGCGTTCACATAAAATTTCCTGCATATGCAATTGGCAATACAACTGAAATAGTCGTTCTTCAATTTTGGAATGGGCATACTTGCAGACCGAAATTCGGAAGAATCGGGCAAATTTCGGATATGCAGTTGGTTAGTAACTCATCCAGTCCCCTAGATGGAATGACATTTTTGATGTTCTCTCCAATTAAAGATGCCCGTTCCAAAATTGAAGATCGACTCTTTCAGTTGTATTGCCAATTGCATATGCAGGAACTTTTCTGTGAAGATTTCTGCACTGACGCCTGTCGAATATAATTCAACACCATTTGTGGTATTAGCCAGTGGAGCCTATCTATAGATATGTCTATAAAATATGTCAGGATTTCAATTCAGTGTGCCAACATTGTGACATTTTCCCCTGCTATGTGAAATATAACTATGAGGCGTTTCTGAGAGAGATTCCGTAGTTCTTTTAACTAAAGAACTATACATTTTTAGAAAAGAAAAGTTTTGGCTTTCTTCTTTTCCATCTTTAAAAAAAAATCCAAAAAAAGAAGTTATCAAAATTTTGTTTTATTAATATAGGAAAATAGATCCATATTGTTTCCAACCCTCTTTTTATTGTATATCAACGACTTATTGGAAAAAACCAAGAATCCAATGTATTGCTTTGCTGACGATAGCACACGTGTTTCGTGATTTCATTTGGATTCCAGGACATCGGCGGCGGATGCACATCAGTACACTTCAAACTTCACTGTTTAAAATCTTCTTCATTTGAGAACACTGTTTATGTGGAATAAAATTCCCGAGAACGTTTTTCCGAATGGATTTGATTTCTAGTGATTCAAATCCAATTCAATCGTTACTTTCGCACAGGCACCGCTTTTAGAGCGCCTTGAGGATTTACCTGTAGTGCTTATGTTTTGTTCCCAAAAAAGCCAAAACGTATTTTTTCCAAAAACTATTATCTTCTTAAAATTTACCCCTTCCTTTTCAGAACTATACATGATTCAATAGGTAACATTTCTATTGTATATCATTGTTTTATTGTATTCATTGTATTTTTCATGAACACTTTCCTATTGTTTGAAGTTTTTCCTATAATTGGTGTTTCTTTTGTTATCTTCGAACTTCGATGTTATGGCTTGCCAGATTATCTTTGTCGCTTTACAGGTTCTCCAAGAAATGTTTGTTGCAATTAGCCATCGATGGTTCTCTCACCGCTGGTGTTTTCCAGGGAACCACGTTGACTCTGAACTTCTTATAAGAAAAGCAGATATAATAATCGTAAAAAATATATTTTACCCAAAGATACATCAATTCACAATTAAACTTAACGAATAAACCATCACCCGTTTTCCAATCTGGATATAAACAATTAAATGAATAACAATGCTCTCGCCTGGCTGGCTCAAGTTGACTAACTATGACTGACTAATTCCCATCCAATCTCTCGGGCCCCGCGTTTTTTCGGGTACCGCGTTTTTTTTCACCCATGTCGATAGTGGTTTCTTACATTCTTCTATTATAAATCAGCGATCTGTCAGAACAAGAAAACCGAATTCAATACTTTGTTTTAGTGACGATAACACGCCAACTGTTTTTCAAGAAATATTATATATTATGAAAAAAATTAGGGTCACCAGATAGAAACCAAGTATAATTTGATCACTTTTCTTCAAGAAAATTAAATGTGGCGAAGGTTATGACATTGAAAATAGTTCCTCTGGTATATGTGAAAGGCTCCTGATACATTTAGTAAATACACATTTATCCTTAACTACATATACTACTTTTTATAGTGATATTAGCTTTGTTAATTCTTGTGCAAACTTTTCGATAAACTTTCATAATGAGGAGTGATAAAATAATTATCCTCAGTAAATGCCGACTTAATGATGTCATGGACAAAAAATACCCTCTTATATTAGGTGATTGTAGAACAAAAGATTTCATTACTTCATGTAGTCTTGTTGGTAATTTCATAGTATAATCCAAACATCTCTTTGACTGATTGATAAATCATTGACAAAACTAAACAATTTATGAAATATCACCTATTATTATACAAGGTGGTAAAAATATTCAGGAACGGGTTTGAGCTCTAGTTCATGTACCCATTATCACCAAATTCTAACAGCTTGGTTACCTCGTTCACAGGCAGATAGCGCGATGACAAACCTATTGTTTGTTTTCCGCTTCAGCCTAGTTCGAGGAATGATACTCTGAAGGAATTCGATTTTCATTAGTGGTTGTTTTCTGATAGGTGTCAGACCATTAACCTACAGTATAGAAAGTTGAGACTAGCCTGAACGAATTGTTATTTAGATTATTTGATTTATAGGCAGTCTTAAAGTATGCCCACTGACTGTATGTGAGAAGTTTTCTTTTCTTACACGAGGAATTGAGCAAATTTCGAATATGCGGTTGGTTACCTCGTTCATAGGCAGATGGTGTGATATCAAACCTATTGTTTGTTGTTCCCTTCAGCCTAGTTCGAGGAATGATACTCTGAAGCAATTCGATTTTCAATTATCGGAAATCATCGCCTTTATGTTGATGATAGATACTACTTTGCACTGGCGAGTGGCCATGGCATTCAGTTTTTCGAATGATTTCATCTGTAAAACTTCAAGTAGTTACTTTTAGGTATAGAAATCTTCAAAATACAAATTGTTATCCATTTAAAAACTTTGTCCGAAGAAATTAACTTTAAATATTCAAGCCCGTCTCGGATATACATACACAGTAGGTTAAATGGACTGACGCCTATCAGAAAACAATCACTCCACTGGCTAATACCACAAATGATGTTGAATTATATTCGACAGGCGTCAGTGTAGAAATCTTCAGAGAATATTTCCTGCATATGCAATTGGCAATACAACTGAAAGAGTCGATCTTCAATTTTGGAATGGACATACTTGCAGACCGGTTTCGGGTTTCCAAGCCACTCGTCAGTGCAAGATAGTGACCATCATCGACCTGAATTCAATGATATTCCATAATTGAAAATCGAAATTCTTTCAGAGTATTTCATTTCTCATCTTCAATTGGAGAGAACATCAAAAATGTCATTTCATCTAGTGGACTGGATGAGTTACTAACCAACTGCATATCCGAAATTTGCCCGATTCTTCCGAATTTCGGTCTGCAAGTATGCCCATTCCAAAATTGAAGAACGACTATTTCAGTTGTATTGCCAATTGCATATGCAGGAAATTTTATGTGAACGCCGTTCGTGGTATTAGCCGGTGGAGTAGATTAGGCAATATTTTCGAAACTTTGCACTATATATAGTACCACCACCCCAATTCATCACATTTCAACCAATTCATACAAAATATCGATAAAATATGCACATACACCTTTCTCTTGAATCATTACGTACATTTGTGAAAACCGTATAAAAAATCGTCGGGCAGTTTTTGAGTTTATCGAGGACAGATCGCAGACGGTGTTTATATATCGCAAGACGGTGGATTTTAATTTATACATTTATTGATTTCGAAAACAAACATTACCACAAAAAATTGAACAAAAAGCCCTCAGATATCTAAAATGCGCATAGTGAAATCACATCTGCAATTAATAATTTTTCCATCTACAAATCAATTTACCCTGTATAAGTTTAGGAAACTGATTCTGTGATTTTGTTGAACATAAATTCAAAATATTTATTCATGAAATATGCAGTACCTATAGTATTTCTTGAACTGAACAAACAGAGTTGTTGGTCATGCTAGCAGACATCGCGTTTCGATAACATGTAATAAAAATACCTGGGCCGTAATCAAAGGTTATTATTGTGTTCGCAACATTGTTCGTTCTCCAGCAATAATAATTTACTTTTCCAACACTCAGTTAAGTGGAAAGCTGTTTTGATTCTACAAAAATTTCAAAAGTATATATTTAGTATAATAAGAAGCTTAATCTCTGCCAATTACGAAGAAAAGTGTCTACCAATATTTGTAAAACTCAAAATAATGACTGTCAAATTTCGTAACTTGCCATTCAGAAGACTCAAAAACCAAACATCCATAATATGAAATTGAT